GTCAGATGAGTTCATGCACTTTCTTTTCTTCCTTGTAGATGATAGTCAGCAGTTGGCTACATGAGATGAAATGCAAGTGAAGGGAATTATAACAACTTTCAAGTCTCACTGTTTAATGTTACCTCAACAGCTTTCTCACTTTCACTTCTGCTCTTTCTGATTATTAAATTTTAAAGCATATCCCTCTGACTTTGTGAGTAACATGCACACTACTACCCTGCATAGTCTTTTGCTAGCTGAGAATGATTTTGGTACATGTAAATCTTTTTAGCTAAAGTTATGTTTTTATTACATGGATCTCATATGAGTGAATTTTATGAAAGAATCCTGGAGTAGTCTGTTAATTTGACTTATGCTTTGGATGTTTTGGTGCTTGTTCTTTGTTTTTGTTTGTTTGTTTGTTTGTATGTTTGTTTTTCTGTTTTTTGTTGTTGTTTTTGTTTTGCTTTTTTGTTTGTTTGGGTTTTTTTAAGCCATTAGAAGTCTGCAGAAGTCTGCAATTAAGTATTTTTTTGCAGAAGGAGATGTTGGTGTTTGAATTTTAGGAAAAGAGAAAAAGTAAAAACAGCTGAAATCAAGTAAAGTTGCGTGCAAAACACAAATATTTCTAAACTAACTATTAAACATTGGAACAGTTTTCACATTTATTTTATCTTTCCATTACCACCTCTTTGCACAGAAGTCCTAGTAAGTAGTAGAAATATAGTCCCTACAGCCAAGAAAGCATAGAATTTCCTTTCTTTTATACAGCAGTGATGAAAGCCAAGGTGAGGTGGAAGCCACATATTCTCCATTTCTCCCCATGTAGACACATACATACACATACAAACACCCATCTTGTTCTGTCTTGTGGTGCTGTTGTTGGAGAACGTTCCATCCCTCAGAAGAGATGCTCTTTCCTTAACTCTAAGGCTGGAGAGGAAAAATGTCTCAGCTGTGGTTAGACTAAAAGTTCTGCAATTAATGAGTCCTCCTAGCTCCATGCTAGATGGACAGTGGAAATTAAACTCACATAAATTGTACAGAGCTAAGGCCTTGTCAATTTAGATTTACAATATAGCCAAAGTGAACAGTTTTCAGTGGGAAGAAAGCAGTTAAAAATATACATATAAGCCTTTTTCTGTGTTGAGTAAATCTTACCGACTCAAATCATTTTACCATGTTGTAACTTTATACTTCAGCAGAAGAATTCAAAGATACACACTGATGTGTGTGTGTGTGTGTGTGTGTGTGTGTGTGTGTGTGTGTGTGTGTGTGTGTTTAGCATCCTTGCTAGGTACCTTTGTGGACATCTTAACTGAAATCATAATATAGACAACACAACAATTTTTCAAACATAAGACATTTTTTTTCAGTGGAATGATTGAGCAATGCCTTTTTAGTTGCCTGAAGATCAGAAGAACTGATATCACTAGTCATGGGATGTTAACCTCTGGAAGGGGTGGAGTTTATCGACTTCTGCTCAAAGAATTGTAAATGTGTGCTGATTCCAGATTTTATTACCTTAAAGCAGAAATATGAGTAGCATAAAAAGGAATTACTTTGTGACCTGTAGTAGCTGATAGGTACACCTGCAGTTCTCTGGTTTTCTCTTCAGTGTAATCTTGGCATTTTTATTTCCTCCATTCCCAACATACAGAACATGTGTGTGATGTGAACACATGCACAGGAAAAAAAAAAAATCAAACAAACAAATAAACAAGCAAACAAAACCCAAACAGTTAGTAAGGAAAAACCAGCATGCATGAAACAATTCCTCATGTTAAGTGCTTATTAAAATGACAGATTATTTTTTATTTATTTTTATTTTGCCTCTTCTAAACCTTAATAAAAATCTAAACCATCACAGTTCTAGGCTAGAAACGCTTATACCATGAAACTCCTCTGGCATTATTGGTAGACTTTGCTGGAAGTTAGCTGTGCTGTAAGAACAGAAAATTCCTGCTAAGGAATTACTATGACCTCTTAGCTTTTGGAGTCTGTGCCTAACAAGCCAGACCTTTGGACTTAGAGGTTTATCTGAGTCTTTCTAAGCTGTACTAGATCTGGATGTGGTGATTTTCATGCACACAATGTGTTAGAATGAGTCAAGCATTTCATAGATTAAATCATGTTTCACATAGTCAAATTCTCAAATCTATCACAGCCATTCTCTGTGTTATCAAGTGAAACACAGACTGGCTTTAACATGCTGATTAGCTCACAGTGATTTGCAAACTGAAGCCTTTTAAATTGAAAATACAAAGTAATAGCACCTCAAGACTATAAGAATATTTTTCTAGAGGTTTAATGATGAGGCAGGAAAACAGTTTAATTTTAACATCTGCTTTGTGTGTAATACAAAAACTGAGATCAGTGGCAAATGATTTAAGTATATCTCAGTGAGTGGCTTAAGGTTGCACTTGCCTTTAAGCATGTTCTCAAATCTCTTCATCAGCTTCTTCAGGGGAGATGTCTGTGCCAGGGTAGCTGTCAGGATGAGTCCTCCTGCCTTCTGATCATGTGGTTTCCTGTAGTTGTCTCTCGGCCACATCTCCTGAACTTGGCCTATCACCAGGACCATGCCTGTATCCATCCTTTCTCTTCACCCTTGAGTCAGCCCTCCAGATCCAAATGGGCATGCCTCTTGATGTCACTTGCTTAAAGGAATATAAGCCAATGGTTAAATTTAGGTGCCTGTTGATTTTATTTTTTTAAAGATTTCTCTGGTTAATTACAAAAATGGACTCTTAACAAGGTCTCTATTCTGTTTGATAGCTTTATTTGGAAATCTGTTTAAGGAAGACAGTTCCCAGTGTTGGTGGCCAGGCATATGCAGTTCATGCTTGCAAAAAAATTGACTATTTGGAAGATACTGTATATCACCAAGGAACCCTGAAAAACTATAACGTACTTTTATCGGGGAATTTTCACTCATGGCAGTTAGAAATTCTTTTGGTTACTCATAGGCAGATCTTGCTTTCATTAAGGAGTAATCATCCCTTTAAGTGTTCAAAAAATGAACAGATGTAGCACTTGAGGCTATGGTCTAGTGGTTAGGGAAATGTTGGGAGGAAGGTTGGACCTGATGATCCTAGAGGTCCTTCCCAACCGTAATGATTCTATGATTAGAATAGAAGAGCATGAGACCATCCCGCCCAGTGGCTCATGGCATGTTGTACCGCATGGGGTACAGTAGCAGCTCTTTTGTTCCCACTACAATGAGAGTTTCTTATCTGAAAACTAAGAACTAAAAAGATATCTTACAACCTTTGTTGTCAGTGTTCAAGATAGAAGAGTTAAAGGGTTGTGCTGCAAATCCTGAAAGGTGGAAGAATGATGGTGGCTTTCCTGAGGAAAGATTAAGAGAACTGTAACTATTCCCAGCCATTACTGGCTTAGCACTTCAGCAAAGATGATGGTGAGGATAGTCACTGTCTTATTTACCTGTAGGCCTGTCAAAACAAAGGATGATTTCAAAATTACAGAGCAGGTCAGTTCCATTGCATTAATTTTACAACAACAGTTTTGGCAGTGTGACAAAATAGATCAAGTCACAGTTCCTGTTATCTAGAGTTTAAAGGCTACTTACTTGAATGGGTCTAAAGTCCAAATCAAACAACCAAAGTGACCAAGTTATTTTAGTTCTGTAACATCTCTTCTATTTTTAGATTAGAATGTTCTTTTTATAGATCGTGGAAAAATAAAGACAGACTCTAGTTATAAACACTTGCTGTTAGTTAGGGACTTTTTCATAGTTAGAATATGTCTAAATCAACAATATTGGTTCAGCTGTCAGAAGAGGACTTGGAAAAAAAACTTTTATCTCCACTGAAATCCACAGAATCATAGAATCATTTTGGTTGGAAGAGACCTTTCAGACCATCAAGTCCAGCCATTCCCCCAGCACTGCCAGGTCCCCACTGACCCATGTCCCTCAGCACCACATCTCCACAGCTTGGAAACCCCTCCAGGGATGGGGACTCCACCACTGCCCTGGGCAGCCTGGCACAGCCCTGGACAACCCATGCAGCAGGGAAACTGTTTTTCCTAATGTTCAATCTAAACCTCCCCTGGCACAACTTGAGGCTGTTTCCTCTTGTCCTATCTCTTCTTCCTTGGGAGAAGAGACCGGCACCCACCTGGCTCCAGCCTCCTGTCAGGGAGCTGTGGAGAGCCAGAAGGTCTCCCCTGAGCATCCTCTGCTCCAGGCTCAGCACCCCCAGGTCCCTCAGTCGCTGCTCACCAGACTTGTCCTCTAGACCCTTCCCCAGATTCATTGCCCTTCTCTGGACATGCTCCAGTCCCTCAAATTCCTTCTTGGAGTGAGAGGCCCAGAAGTGAGCCCAGGATTTGAGGTGTGGCCCCCTCAGTGCCGAGTATAGGGGGATGATTCCTGCCCGAGTCCTGCTGACCACACTAGTGCTGATAGAAGGATGCTGGTGGCTTTCTTGGCCACCTGATCACATGCTGGATCATGTTCAGCTGGCTGAACATGTTATGCTGCTTTGATTTTGCATCGTTGGGGTCTTTGAGGGAGTTTTAATGACTTGCAGGCTTACTAAAGGCACATAAGCATTCTATAAAATAAACTACTAAAATGCAATTGTATTTCATCTCGCCATTCGCAATTATTTAGACAGTTATTTTTCCTATATGTATTTCTGTCAATTGCTCATTTAACTACTGTCCTCTGAGCCCACCAGTTGTCTCTGCTGCCTTTTGAAGTACAGATCAGGTCAGTTCAGACTGTATTCTGAAGAACCTCAAAGCTGGGTTACCTGCCGAGTGTTAGCCATGCAATGTTACTGTACAGCCTAATGCGTTACAGGGTGACAAAATCAAGCCAAATTATAGTCAGGGACTAAATTTTCCCCTATAACCTACACCTGATTCTGAATTTCTATCTCAATCCCTCAGACAGGAAACAGTTGGACCTCTGCTCAGGCCTGAATTCATTACAGAGATAACAAGCTTCTTTTAAAATGTCTGTTTCTTTTTTGTTTGTTTGTTTTCAGGGATTACAATGGTTGATACAGAAATGCCATTTTGGCCCATTAATTTTGGAATTAGTCCAGTGGATCTGTCTGCGATGGATGATCATACACATTCCTTTGACATAAAGCCATTTACCACTGTTGATTTTTCAAGCATTTCTTCACCACACTATGAAGATATTCCTCTTGCAAGAACTGATCAGACAAACATTGATTATAAATACGATATCAAGCTCCAGGATTGCCAAAGTAGGCTTTTTTATTTTTTCTTTTAATATTTCCTTCATGTTCATATTTGGTTCATTGTCTAGAAAGTTTACTATCAGCAAAAGGATTTTGAAGTAGTCAGATGACTAAATACTGGTGTCCTGTGCCATCATCAATGTCCAGAAGATGCTCTTGAAAGGCAGATAGAAAAGACAGAATAAATAAAGCAGACCCTCACCCTTCCAGAGCAGCAGATGGAGATCAGGCAAAGTATCATAAAGTGTGTAACATGACATGAACACTTTGTGTTAGACACATGAACCCCACCATTTGTTTCTGAAACTTTTAGGCTGTGGTGTATGTGATGTTACCTTGTCTGGTGTGTAAATTGTCCTTTGAAGCTCTATGCACACAATGCAGAATAAATATCCTGAATGTTAATAAATAAAAGCGTATTCATTATTAATACATGTAGCTTTTAAATTCCAAATGGGCTAAGAAGCTGATGAAGTAGAAGAATTGTCTACATCTGAGTCACAACGTTGGTATAACTTTTATCAATGTTCCTAATGTAGGCATAAGGAGCTTCACAGGCTACTATTGTTAATATACTATGAAAAACACTGTTCTTTTGCCAGTTATAGTAAAAAAAAAATCACACACAGCTCCCCTTTTAAGAAAGGAAGTGACCTGCTCTTAAATAAGTTGTTATTGCTCCAAGTAGGAATGTGAGATTGTTGTGGCTGGAACTTTTTTGTAGATCTGCTTTAGCGTGCTTAGATCTGAGATCACTTCTGTTTCTGCTAATCCTACAGGAATTCCTTCTAGGAAAATCATGAGATTTCATTTGGGCTGTAGAGTGAAGCAGGTGCTGTGTACCTCTGGGTTACTTATGAAATAAATTAAATCTTCCAACTAATTTTTTTTTTTTTTTTTTTTTTAATTAGAAATGTCCATAGCACTTGAATAACAAACTAGAAAGCGCAGCAGAGTTTAGGCAACATAACTCTTCTTTATCTTAGATTATTTTCCACTTGTCTTTTTTCTTTCTAGTTTATGTAGGAACTCTTGTTTGTGTAGTGTAGCCAGTCTGGAAAAGAAAAACATTCACATTATTGCAGTACTGTCTGGTACCTCACTCCTGAGATGTGACCTGGTGTGATGTTATAGTGACAAATGTCGCAACTTTCTTCCATGATCAATAATGACTGATACAAAGATGTCATACTTGTTTGCTTGAGCTTGTTCAATATTACAAATTGTTCTTTTGATTAGAAACTTTCAGAAGAGAAATTGTATCTCTAAACTGAAAATGTATCTCTAAACTGTATCCAAAGTGGAACAGTGTTCCCCGGTGGAGAGCTAAATTTCTTTCAACTTATTAGATACTTAAATATTTTTTAGACTAGTTTAAAAACTCCAGTCTTTCTCCCTGCAGTACTTCGGAATACCTTAAAGTAATACAACCAGACTAGACATGGAGAGAGAAAAGTATGAGGTCTCCATATGTGAATTTTTACTATCCCTATCTTCAAATCATTCCATACTACAGAGAAAACTAAATCTGTAATAACATTTTCTACCTCAGAATCTGCCCCTTCAAGGTTTTTCAGCTTATATGTGACCGGTGAAATAGTGGCTTGCAGCCTACATCCCTTGTTTAATACTTATTTTGTATTATGAAGCAGATCTATGAATCAGGCTACGCTGTCATTGCTTGCGATTATTCCTTGCTTCTTCTTCTATGTATTTAATTATACTTTGAGTTTATCTATTAAATCTTCTCTGTATGCAGATGCAATCAAAATGGAGCCTCCTTCCCCACCCTACTTTTCTGAAAAAGTTCAGTTGTACAATAAACCTCATGAGGAGTCTTCCAACTCCCTCATGGCTATCGAATGCCGTGTGTGTGGGGACAAGGCCTCAGGATTTCACTATGGTGTCCACGCATGTGAGGGCTGCAAGGTACGTTCTCACAAATCTGGGGTTGCTGAAGATTTGATACTATTTTCGTCTGAATAATCACTTGGTAAAAGCAGAGATCTGTGCTTTTCTAAAAAAAACCAAAGAACTCTTTAAGTAAATTGTTCCACATATACTGCATAAGACTTTGTGTGCTAATAAGCAAGAGTTTTTAGAAATATGTTGTGCTTTCTGTATTATTATTATTATTATTTCTGTATTATGTTACAGATCTATTAGAATTTTTGCGCATCTCTTCTGCTTTCATCAGCTATGTAATTATCTTTCATTCCTAAAAACTGCCTTGGAGGTCACTTACAGAATCTGAATTCATAGAACACAGCAAAAACAGATCGTGCCCAACTCCAAAGCTCAATACTCTGAGAAGTTTAAAATTCAGATTCCGTTATTCTCATTGATTAGAGTTTTTTTTTACCCAATTTATGAATTTCTCAGTGACTACAGAGAAGTCTAATGGTATTAAAGAATGTGGCTTTCTGCCTTAAACCTCCATGGACTTTTTTTTTTTTATTTCCATGATATTTATTGTTTATAACACATAAAGCAAAAGGGATGGTTTAAAAATTAGGCATCCTCAAGAATGAGAAGAAAAATGCCAGAGAAATAAATTAATAATGATAATTCACTGAGTTCAAAGAAAAATATTATGGTTTAACATGCAATTCCCATGTTATTTATTTTCAATATCTTGAGGAAAATAATAATAACTAATAAATAATAGCTTAAAATTTGTAGCACTGAATTAGGAACACATATAAAGCATTAGATATGTGTGTTGAATACTTAAATTACAGTGAATTATATAAGTATGAGTTCTTATTATACTTTTATTATTTGCTGTGAGGAAAATGAAACATTATAAGGGACAAATAATGATAAATTTGGATAAACTTTATTAACTGATTGAGTGATCTGAGGAAACATCTTAAACTGTAAAATGACAGACTTGTGAATTTCCATAATGATTTTCTCTTTATAAGACTTCATGAAACTTCTGTGCAATAATTTCCATGAGCTTGGTGCCAAGTTTTGGGATTTTTCATGTGCCAACATACTTTGCAAACTTTCAGTAGCCAAACAATGGAGATAAACTAGTAAACAAAACAACCAAGAAAACAGAACCCAGAAATAAATATTGCAAAATTATCTCAGCACTATGCAAAACCAAAGAAATAAAATAGGTGAAAGAATATACATTCTTTTTAAGTACTCAGGCTGAAAAGAGAAATAAATATTTGAAATAGAATAAATAAATAGTTGGGAAAGAAAATTTAAACAAATGGATAACCCATAACCTTTTTTATTTACTTGAGATTAAACTGCTGTTGGCAGAATTTTTGGTTTCTTTTGACTTATAAAAAAAAATTGTTACATTGGTAGAGAATTTTTAAATTTTGAAAATGTTGTGTTCACTTTATATGAGCAGTGTAATAAATGGAGCTTTGCTTCCTTTGGCATAGCGTTCCTCATGCTCAGCACATCCATAGAGATCCAAATTTCTGTCCCTACTGTCCTGTAAGCTTCCCCAGTTGTGTGAGATTTTTACCCCTCTACCAAAGCAGGTTGAAAATGGTTAATAATATCAGAACAGGAGCACACAGATAAGCTGTATGAGCTTTGCTTCCTTTGAAAATCCATCTAAACTCCTTAGGTTCCACGTGGATACAGAAAGGTGCTTTGTAGATATAGAGAAGTGTGATGATGCCACTGGCAGTTTCTTGCATTTTTTTTACGTGCTTTTATGTTTACTCCAGGGCTTCTTTCGAAGAACAATCAGGTTAAAGCTAATTTATGACAGATGTGACCTGAATTGCCGCATCCATAAGAAAAGCAGAAATAAATGTCAATACTGCAGGTTTCAGAAGTGCCTGGCCGTTGGGATGTCACATAATGGTAAGTGTATCTAGCATATTTTAAAGCAATAAAGTTTTACCTGAAGAATAACATCAACTATTAATATGACTACTGAATGTGCTGCTTTAACATCTACGCTCTTCTGTTTCTTAACACTAGACAGTTTAGAAACATGTATCAGAGAAATTGCCTCTGAGTTTACGAGACTATATTTATGATTGGAGATTATTTTCAATATAAAAATCAGACAGGTAGAGATTTGTATTTATTGATATAATACATAATATAACATATGAGTTGGTTTTACTCACCAGCATTCTTTTTCGTTACACTGTTGATTATTCTTCCTGCTTATTCCTAGTGTAATGGTTATTTTTCAGTTCATTGTCTTATTTTCTGGCAAGACTCTTGCATACTGTAGCTCAATGTCCCTTTGCTGTAAATAGAAAACTTAATTTAATTACAAAAAGTGGACTAGAAAATTTACCCAAAGTATGTGAACAATAGTCACTTGAATTGGATGCATAAGACACTTATCCAGGACTGTTAGCATCACTAAGTTAACACTTCCTCATACTAGAACACAACGTACTTCAAATTACCAGGCCAGCCCCTGTACTGTTTTCCAAAACAGTAGTTGGGCAGATAGCATTGAGCCTATCACTATGTTCCTTTCTTGCACAGAATTTAGAAGAAAGTCTCTCTGAACTATAAAATTAACATATTGATTCATGTGGAAATACTTATGAATGTTTGGACAGAGAAACATAATGAAGATTCTTTGCTGCCTTGCTTTGGCAAAGCTGAGTAAAAACAGGAATTAAATGTCATAACATAGAGACTTATGTAATTCTAAGGGTAAAGAATTGCAAACATGACTGGGAAAATAATTTCTCAGTGGTTTTTTTAGAACTTTCATTATTTCCAGTATAAAAAATGAGTGTACTGTCCCCAGGAGAAAAGCTTAACTGTGATTTGCGAAGTTAATACATGCAGTGAATGTAAATTGGTATGGGAAATGTTTTGCTAATAGAAAATATGGTTTTCAAGTTCCTGGGATGCAACAGCAACACTTAAAAATAAATCTAATTTTGAAATGCTACCGTGGGTATTTTTTTATAGTAATTCAGGTTTTATTATTATTTTCAAGGTGCATGCCAAATTCTCTCATAACCTAGCAACAAATCTCCCAGTTATGTCAATGGGAACCATGTGCAGTTCCACCAAGAAAGGGAAGGCCAAGACCGTTCTCTCTGGCTTAGTAACACCAAGGGCCCAAGAAATATTTTTAAAATTAACATTTCACCTGCTATTTTTTTTCCTGTTCAGCCATTTCTAAGGCAGAAACTGTGGCACCAGTAGGGCCCATGGTTGTGGGAATCGGGGAGAAGTAGAAGGGAGAAGGGGAAAGGGCAAAGCCTTTTGTCCCAGAAGTTGAAGGAACACTTTCATTTGCTCTACCACGATTTTACCTAACAGGGAGTTTTTAGTGTTTATATTAAAGTATTGCCTCTTAAATCTGCGTTTTTTACCCACTCTGCTTAAACAGAAAGAATTTGGATCACACTCTGCATCACATGAAAGGAAACCCTCGTTCCTCCATCATTTACAAACAAACAAATTTATTAAAAAGAATTAAATTTCGCCTTTGAAGACACAGACCTGTATAAAGAAACATACAGAAATGTAACAGTGCATATTGTCAAAGACACTGAGACACGTTTTTATGTTACATCCACAGATTAAAGTCCCCCCACCTGAGCAGTGAAATAATCTGAATCTTAAATGCTTGGAACCAGGATGTGGATGATTTGTGCCCGAGGGTTCCAATCCATGACAGTCTCTGTATAGATGTATCATTGCAAAATGAATAGGGCACTTACAAAACCAGGGAATGCAAGGAGACACTCAGCAGCTACAGACACATTTTTTCACGTATAAATGCTACATACCACTTGGCTGAAGGTTAAGTAAGACAGTGGTGTTCTCATGCTTTGAATATTGTTTTCCTTTCCTCCTCTTGCTACAGCGCTGCTCTGTGTTTAACCCTTAGTTTCTCAGAATGCATTCTGAAGTACCACTAACAGAAACTTGGTTATTTTATTTTGGAAATTTCGTTATTTTTTTCTCTTCTACTAGAAGTACTATACGAAGCCAACTCCTGTATTGGGAAAAAGAGCACACATGGCAATATATCTGTCTTTTCAGTTCTGGGAGCAGTGAATTGCTCAGTCTGGGCAAATGTCTCCAGTAAACTCAGACAGGTATCTGCCCTGGCTGTATCTTGTGTTTTCTAGTGTAAGAAACTGTGTTTGTTGTCTATTCAGGGTCTCATTTATGCTCAAAAGTAATCTAGACAATCAGAAGAGTGGAGTGTTAAGCAGAATAGTCTGTAAGCAATTGTAACTTCTCCAAGCCATAAAATGTGGCAGAAGGATAAATATCCAAGTTTTTCCAGAGAAAGACAAAGGATATAAGGTAGCATGTATTGTCTCACTATATTCAGTATTGGTTTTACATCACTGATGTTTGGAGACTGCAGTAAATAGAAGTAAGAGCAGTACCTGCCAAAGAAAGGAGAGAGAGATCACACATTCCAGCGGCAGGCACATGCCCGAAGTTGCTCAGTCCTCTGTTACTGTGAAAGAAATTGGTGTCTGAACCCCTTGCACCCTTGCAGTGTGAGTAATGAGCCACATTTCCAGATCCTTTATGTCAGCTCGCTGGCCAGTCCCTGCCCTTCCCACCCCTGCAGACCCTTCCTTAGGCCATTTCCCAGTTTCCCAGGAGATAAGGAAGCTAGGCCTAGCTCTGAGGGTAGGTGGAGGAGAGACAAGGTAGAGAAGCAAGAAGAGTAAAGTGGTCCATGGAAACAGAGGGAAGTGGAGAGAGAAGCAGAAATGGATACCGCCCATCCTTGAGATTTTCCTCAACCACCAGAAATGCTGTGAACACTTATCCACTCTGTGAACTCTCCTTTTCCACCCTAACCTCTGTAAGCATCATCAATCCCTCCTCCTTTTACTCTGACCCATAATCCCACTTTCCCAATTCCTTCTGTAAAACCCCTCATATCTGACCTCTTCCGGACTTTTTGTCTCAGTCCTCTGAAAATGACGACTTCTCCAAAAGGAAACAACCAGTCTAGTACCACAAAATTGAATCTCCCCCCCAAATTTGTTTGCAAGGCAAATAAACATTGAACAGAATCTGCTACAACTAATACAATATTTTTAAAAAAATATATTCTAAGCATTAAAAAAAATTGAAAATTATCCTTTTACCTGTCAAATTATATGATGGAAACATTTGATTCACAGCTCTCTCACTTTATATTGTAAAGAAATTGCTATATTTAAAATATATTTTAGGGTCCTGATGGCCTGGATTAGATGATCTCTAGGGTCCCTTCCAACCTAAGCCATTCTATTATTTAAGAAATGTTATTCTCATAATTTGTGAATTACATCAGAAATCTTCCAAGACACATATGTCAATGAAATACAGACAGTATTTAGAAGTGGATCATGAAAGATCCATTGCTATTAATCCACTGGAAAAACACCCATTTAAAAAGAAACAAAGACATGTAGAAATGGTAGATTGTTAATAAAGATACAGCCCATACAAAAATAAAGATGCAGAATGAACTTTACCCCAAGCAGTTTTCACACGCTAAGCACGAGAAAATATTGTGACATTTCTGAGGGATTTCATTATTGATGAATTCTTTTATGTGAAAGTCAGATGTTAGTACAGAAAACAGCAAGATCTCATTTCCATTTTCAGTGAAGTCAGTTGGTGTATGTAGGAGAAGTCTTGGTCCTGTCTGCTCAATGCAAACTCTGCAGATGTTGGTGGAGGTGTGATCTGAGAGGTGGGAACCCCAACAGCCCTGGCAGGTTCTTAAACGAAGGATGGTTGCTTTAGGCCAGCAAGAGATAACCCCCTGCCCTGCTATAGCTCTTTGATTAGCTAATCAGCTTGTGCCCTCTGATAACAAGAGGTAGCTTGGCCTGATTTGACATCAGTGTAATAGCTTTCCATGCTAGGAGTAAGCTCCGTTTGATCTAGCTAACTCAATTCTGAACATTTGAGAATAGAAGTTAATGCTTATAACCTAGTTTATCATTTAAGACCATGTGCTAATCTTATTTCCAAGTAATCTTTGCATTTTAGCAAGCTTGCTATATAATTCAATATCACCTTTAGTGGTAGTACTTCTTTTTGCTTTCCCATTTTCCTTTACACAAAAAGAATTTCAAATTATCTCTTTTTAAAAAAGAAACCAGGAATCTGATTTTTGCAGAAAAATTAGAACATGAGGCTCCATGCCAAGCTTCTGCCAAAAATTCCTTAAAAATATTTCGCAAATTTCCCTGCAGCTTTAATCACGTATCATTTGATATAGTCTTCCTCTGTGTCTTTGGGCTTTAACTCCAAAACAGATTATACATACGGGTGCTTGCATTCGTAAAATTCAGCATGCTGAGGACAATGCTTTGATTTAACATTAATGTTCACAGGGGTTTTGACTGTATATAAAAAAATTATACAAATTCTCAGACAGATGGAAACAAAAAATGAGATAGGATTCCACCAAGGAAGAATATTGAAAAAAAAAAAATCAAAGTAACTAATAATATTTGAAGATTATAACACTGTTAATGCAGAGATTTCAAAGCACTTTTTTGGAAAATAAGTATCACTATTGCAAGCAAAATAAAAATAAATGGTAAGTCAAAGAAGGCAGCTACTCTAGAATTTTTAACAGTAAATTAAATATTAACAGGATGATGAAGTCCAGTGCAACCTGTCAATTAATAGAAACAATTTTATATTAGAGGCACTAGGGCTTATCATAGATGCCTACTTTGTGAAAATAATTGGGTATCCTTTGCTGGAGGTAGATAAGCACACCAGAAGTGGGATTCTGGAGAACACCCTTAGTCAATATTATTTTCCATTTAAAAAAGAAACACATTCTAAGTTGTTATTTATTATAAATTCTACGCCAGTGCTCTTGTAAACTATTAACAGAGAGTTGACAATATGTCAAATTTCTAGCACCAGTACTGTAATTTACTTTCCAAAAGACTTTTGGATAGGACTCCAGGTACATACAGATAAAGGACATATTAAGAAAACATGAGTATATGAATATATGTTTCCTTGAAAAAACGAAACGTGTCTATTCGCACACGTATGAATTTCTAGCAAGGTGTTTGTCTGGTTTCTGTTCTTTAAAATAGTAATTATGCAGCTTAACCAGCCACTCTCTAATAACAAAACAATCCCTGATTTGAAAATCCCTGATCTTTTCAATAAAAATGTCTACATTAAACAATTAAACACTAAACACTGTCATAGCTGATATATACACTGTGCTATATCATTAAGAATGTTCCAGTAGATTCTTGATTAAAGAAGAATTGATTAAAGAATCTTGATAAAAGGGGGGGAAGAAAATAAATTCCTATTGATTTTAGAGCTAAGTCAATCTTAAAACGTAGGAAGGGGAAGAAATATACTGTCCCTTTTTAAATTCCCTTGTTCACAAAAATAACCTTGATGAAAGGGAGTCTTATGCCAGTGAGTTTCCAGATTATAAACTTGCTCCTGCAAACCCCAGTACTCAGGAATAGGCCAACCACAGAATCATCTCTCATACTGGTGTTCAGTTCCATAATACTTAGAGTTCGTGTGTTTAGAATGAGCTTACAGAACTTACATCAGCTTGTTAAGGCCAACTAACTGATTGTAAACATATTATAAAAACATTATATATCATGCTATTAATGTATTCTGTATAACATATCAAATTAGTTTGCATGTAGGATTTACCATAACAAAACATTTTTCTGGCCCAAAGAACCTAGTTCCTGATACCGCCATGAAATCTCTCAAAGGTTTCCTTAGAGTTCCTCAATATTTCTTATTAAATGTTCAGAAGTCTTCAGTTTGTAATAAACTGTACTCTGTATATTTCTGGAAGTGATTAACATTTTATAGACATGGGCAACTGATCTCCCTTTTTTATTAACCGTACTTTATATGAGGCTAATATTCGCCTTGCTTTCTTTCCATCTTGAAAGGTCCACTGTAATAGTCTGAGGACTCTTGCTAGACTACATTTAGGTCTTCGGTTTGCAAATCCTTCCTCAAAAAAGATGGTGAGGAGGAGTTGAGTTTCTTGTCAAGAACCCAATCAGAAGTATCAAAGTATCAACAACGAAGTATCAACAACCAACAACAAGATTGTTTTCCATTGACGAAGCTATTGCAAAATGCACATTTGAAAAGTGGACAAATTAATCAGAAAAACATAATCCTATTAATGTCAAAAATTAAATATTAAATTACTATTAAATCAGAAACCAGATCTAGTGAAGAACATAATAGCTTTTCATGAAAATATGAATTTAACAAATACCTAAACTGTTCAACATGGACTTTCAATTAACCTTTAGCAATTTTATTAGCTCTGTTATTATTTTAAAACCTTCTTGACCCCACATTTTAGTTATACCTGTTGTCACTGGAACAATTTTTACAATATGTATGTAATATATTTCAGTTTTATTATGTTGCTGACAGTTTGATTCTTTTTGTTGAATATCTCCTTAAATATCAGGAAAAAAAGATCTGTAAATGCTATAAAATAGTCTCAGTGAGCTTTCATTCTATTTACTTCATTAAATTCTCATACTTCATTCATTTTACATCTTCACCAATGTCTAAAATACAGATATTATATTACGGGTTCAATGTTATCAACATCCATACAAGATTTTTAAAAAAACTCAGAAGATTTGTGCCAACTACAAATATGAATTTTTCACAGTGAGAGAATCCATTTAAACTGGAAATTAAAAATACCAAAACGGTCTTGATTCACAGTGTCCATGGAGCGTGTGTAGCTGAATTAATTCCTTTGTAGTTACACTGAATTTTTAAATCTTTTTTAAATCTCCTTTTGTTTACTATCAAATATCAATATTTTTAATACATCATTATGGCTGCTGTATGTTCATCTATTTACATTACTTCTCTACGGAATGGTGTCTGTCTCTTTGAGCCATTAAAGTGTGCCATATAAACTAATATGAAGTTAATAGTTTTTCTTTAAACATTTCGCTCTTGGAAAAAAGGCAGGCAGTGATGTCTCCCTGAAGACTATTGTTAGTAGCTGAATAAGAATCCTTAGTGTTTCCCATGAGAGAGGAAAAAAAATACCTATGCTATGGTACATATGATACAAAACAAATAGCAGTTGGTAATTATTCACAATTTCCCATATGAAAGAATTACAAGCAACAGACATTTTTTGGAGGGAAAAAAGTAGAATATGTTAATTGGTACCTATTTGAACTAGATTTCTTTTCATGCTGATTTTTATTCTGACATGTTAACACTAAGAATACCGAAACAAATTTGAAATACGCAGCATATATCATTCAGAGACTAAGTTTGTTGAAAGAGAAATGTAGTCCAGCTGTAAAAATAAACAGCCTTGTTTCTACAGCCATGAAATAAGAGATCCATAAATATAATATATGACAAATAGGGGGTTTTATGTTTCCTGACACAATCATTTATTCTTGAAAAAAAGTGTCGCTTTTGTCCATCAGCTCACTGTGAGCAAACTCATAAAAGGAAAGTGACTGATTGTTCCCAAAATAACTGTCCCTAGTAAAATCATTCATATGTATGATCTTAACAGAACTTTTACTTTATCCAGGGAAGACATTAATCGCTGAAAAAAATATTTATGGTATTTCTATTTCCTCCTAAGGCCAAAATGCAACCCTTTATTTCTTCCTTCTGTTTTTTTGTTTGGATGTTCTTTTGTTCTGTTTTGTTTTTGTAATAAGAAACAAATTCTGTTTACTGAATCTCACGTGATAAATCAATCTTGATCTTCGTGGCTCATGTGAAATATTTTCCAAGTCAGTATCCATATGAATAAATAGTGTCTTGGCTAGTAAGTACATAGATGTAAAAGCGGGAGGTTTACAGCCTGCCTTAGGCTGGTATTGAGCAAGTGTGAGTTCATATGAAAAGGTAGAACCATCTCCTGTGCTTTCATAAAGTTACTGTGAAGAATTCAACCTTTTCTAGCTTTTTCACTCCCTGCACAACCTTCTTTCTCATTCCTTAGTTCTTTTGATAATATTTTATTGCACTTGCCACACTAAGTTCTGCTGAACTATTTAGGAACTTATTCCTGCAAGGCATGTGAGTGTTTTGTTTCTAAACAAATGAAGACTCTGAGATCCATATGGTGATTTGCCCAAAACAATATGAGGCTGAAAGGTGGTTCCTACCCTGAGCCAACAGGATTTTAATATCTTAAAGATTCTTTACATTCTATTTATCTTGGAGGTAGAATCAGTGGTTTTCAGTAACTCTATCAGGTGAGCTGACAATAGGTTTGCATTTCTAAGCAAGATATTCTAATCTTACTGTTTGGGCACACAGATTATTTCCTCTCTGAGGTTTGTTTGTTTAGATTTCTTTAAAGCACTTCCTCTACTTTGCCTGTGTTACTGGAGAAGATCATCGTTTTCTTACTTGCCTAAGTACTCTTTCAATAAAAAACTTGGAGAGCTCCTAACAAAAGGTGACATTAAAAGCTATTCAAATGCGCTTTTTTAGGTGCAACTATAGCTATAGTAATTGCTTGTCATCTTCTTCAGCCATCAGGTTTGGGCGAATGCCACAAGCGGAGAAGGAGAAGCTCTTGGCAGAGATTTCCAGCGACATCGACCAGTTAAACCCCGAATCTGCTGATCTACGAGCACTTGCCAAGCATCTGTATGACTCATACATAAAGTCCTTCCCTCTGACCAAAGCCAAGGCGAGGGCGATCTTGACAGGAAAGACGACAGACAAATCAGTTAGTTCCCTCTGTTTTTTTTGGTTTGGGTTTTGTTTTTTTTTTTTTTTTGCTTTCTTTTGAGTAAATGATTTACCACATTGACAACACATCTTTTTTAAAAAAGCAGCTTTGCTGTTGGCAGTTACATATTTCAAGCTGTGTCTGAAACACAGGAAATGTTTTTAGATAGGATAAGTAAACATTATTTGAAAAAACTCCAAGTTCACCTAATAAAATAGTTGAAACCAGTACAAGAATTTGAAGGTCATCTTAACCTTTTTGTATTCTCTGATCCACTCTTCCCGTTTTCCTTCTCCTTCACCAAAGGTTATCTTCCACACTATCTATTTAAGGTGGCTATCTAGCTGTCAGGAACTGGTTGCTATTCTATTCAAGCATCCGTATCACAGCATATTATCAGTGCTAGCTGTACCCAAAGGAATACTCTTTTCTGTAAGTGTCAAGTGGCTCCCAGTACGAACACCATCATTTGCTTTAGCTATGATGCTTACACTTAGGATTCTCTGATGACTTCCTGCATTTAACTGGGTTATCTTGGATCAGATCAGTATCCTGTGTTGATGCAATTTAAATTCTAGGAGAACGTACAAGAAAATCTTTGAAAAATAAGGAATAGAGATACATATATTTGTGGGTTGCTTTGGAAACTTCAATGGCAATGTATAACAATCTTCTTTACTAGTGAGGAGGATAAATAAGATCTCATCTTTACAGTAGGTTTTGAATTTTGTCATTATTTTAATAACTAAACAGCAAAACCATTTTCCAAAACTTGTAACTCTTAGCATGATGTATTTTCAGCACAATTTTTATTGTCAGCATTACAGCAGAGACTGTGTTTTATTTCCTTTAATAGTTTCAAAGGCAGGAAAGAATTTGGAGGTATTTTAGGCTTTATTTCTTTAAAGGCAGTTAAAATCATGATTTAAATATTGTCCCTGATTTGGTTGTACTCCTCACATAAAAACTTCAGATATGGTGAACACTTACAATTTGAGTAACTGTTCATCATGGAGTATATAGAGGTCAAACTAGCATAGTTTATTTGTTCTGCAGAAAGCTGATATGCTAAGCCCACTTGAGGGTCACTGCTTTTTCCAAGTGTTTTTACAGTTCCCTTTTTATATCAGAAACAGAGGCTACTGGGAAAGAATACAGCAATTTAGCTTTTTATTTGTGTTCTTAATAGCTATGTACCTGCATTGAGAAACAGAATAGAAGTGGGGCATGTAACTGTATGTCTTTTTTACTCCTCTTCATCCTAAACACATCACCAGGAATCCTGCACTTTTTCCTGCAGCCACCCACTCTGCATGCTCTGGAACATGGCAAGAGTTGAGACAGGTTTACCTATGGTGCTCTTATCATCTGTTTTTCCAGATGTGTGTTTAGAAATCTGGGAACTTTGTTTCTGAGGTCCCAGGCGCATCCACAAATCCCACTTCTCCTCTGTAAGGTTCTAGGGAGCTGCCACAGAAATCACTTGGCCTGTGGTTTGCTGCTTTGTTGTTCTGGGTACTTAACAAACATCTGGGTTTACACAACTCAGTCGTGCCTGAAAGTTACACTACTTCAATACTTATGTAGTTAAATATATAGTATGCCATCAACAGCATTCACCTTTTTTATTGGAAGTTTCAAAATTTTACCAGTTTAGACTATAGCACTATAACAATGGATGTAGAATTCAGCTTTTCATTGTTGCAAATTTTCAAGTCTCTTTAAAAAAATAACTCTGAAAGAGTGACAGCCAGTATTTAATGGTTACAACTTTTACGTTATTTGTGTTGTAATGGACTTTATGCCCTGGAACATCAAAGTGTTTACTATGGGCATAAATTAAATTTATGTTATTTTTTTAATTGCTGTATCATCTGCATTAACTGAAAATGACTGGACATGCTAAGTGAACATGTCAAAACTAAAATGACTGACTCACCCTCTTCTGGGATATACAGGACTCATTCAACTTAAAATTCTGCTCACGAAGTTAATCTGAATCTTTATATTAAAAATTTCTTTCACTATTTTGAACTCTTTCTTGATTTTTACCAGTCAGTAGGTCAATGGCATAGTTTAGTCTTTCTAAATCAGATGTACATGAACAGAATAAATTGCTTTTCCTTGTACTTGGTGCTCCCACCTAATATTTTCTAGGAAGAAAAGAAAGGGACAGCCTACTAGTACTAAAACGTGACTTTTTAAATCCTCCTCTACAATCTTGTTATTCATTACGTCTTGAAAAATACAATTTCCTCCTGGCTTTTCTCAGTGCAGTGTGTTTTATTTTTTTCAGTTCCACACTGAAACCCTAGTGCATGTGGAAAAATAGTGTCATAGCTCACACTGTTGAAGTGAATCTCATGAGCTGTCACCGTCAGAGGTTACTGTCAGCCGGAACGTCTCGC